GGCTACATTGTATCAAGTTCGAATCATTTACTCGACTGATAAGCTTACGAGCTACCTTTTATTTTGAGTTCACAAGCGCTCACTCGACCATCACGCCCACGGGCTACATTGCTTCGAGTTCGAATCATTCACTCGACGATTAAAGCCTACGGGCTACTTTCATTTCGAGTTCGAGCAAAACACTCACTCGACTATTACGCCTACGGATTATATTTCTTCAAGTTCTAATCATTAACTCAACTAGTAAGCCCAAGGGCTACATCACTTCGAATAATCAATCATAGAGATTACGAAGTCCAAATTTGATTGAATTATTAAGATCCCTGTGAAAACATTTGTAAGGCACGCATAAAGTCTTCACAAATCGGCCAAAGTTGTCTATATACAAAAATTCCTACATGATCGATTACAAACATAAAAAATTATGAACTAAGCTTCCTGATCATCCTCAGGGGCATTTGCTTCTCTGTCAGGCTCTCCCATATCCTCAGATTTTGGGTCGTGACAATCTATGAATCTAGAATTGAACTCGAAAGTGGAAATTCTAGATTACACATAGGATTGAGTAGAGCAAGTTCTTGACCCTGGGCATCGGAGAACGGATTCGTGGTTAGGATAGACATATACCTAATTGTCTTGCTTGGTTGATTTACAGGAATTATAAATGTATTCTTGTTAGTTCTAATTCCATAGACATATATGCATTAGGTTAGCTTGAATAGGCGAGTAAGAACTCGACAGATTCTTATGAGCAATATTAACCATGTTAACCAATAAACTAGATAAATTAGTTAGTCAATTCAATTGAAGAATACAATAGGAATGTTAGATAGCCCACAACCCTAGATCGTTTTCATCACATTGATAATATAAAACTCTACTCTTCCTATGTTTAAAGTTCATTAGTTATTTTCTTCTTATTTTAATTAGTTTAGAATAAAATACTTCTATGTTTAATTCTTGTTTACCTAATTAGGATAGTCTAATTTAGTTAACAGTTAGTCACAAGTCCTCGTGGGTTTGACATCCGACTTTTAGTCACTTTATTACTTGACGACTATACTTGCATGTGCATTTGACCGCAACAAGTCTTAAACCACAAGCTAGTTTAAGACTTCTTAAAATCAACAACAACCTAGTGTAATCCCACGAAAGTGGGGTTTGGAGAGTGTAGGATGTATGCAGTCATACCCCTACCCTGGAAGAGCAGAGAGACTGTTTTCGATAGACCCTCGGCTAAAGAAAAGATGGAAGAAGCACTAATAGCAAGAGAAGATATTTAGAAAACTAAAGTCAAGATAGTAAAAGAAAATATGAAAGAAGCACAAATAGGAAGTAATAAAGTACAAGATATATAGTGATAGCAAATTAAGAAAGTACTGATATAATCCGAATAAAAAAGTGTTACTATTACGTAATTTATTTGCATTGGGTTTACAATTTGGAATAAAATGACATATGACTAATGGGTTATCGACTCGGATACGGTTTGTTCGATTACATCGTTTTCTATCATACAAGGTGCTTTTAAAACCAAAAAGAGTAGTACTTGATTTTGTGTTAAGGAAAAGATTGGTTTGAAAGGTTACTATCTATTTTTTTTTTCTATTCAATCATTCAATTAAATATGTCTGAATATAAATTATTACCACTACTACAGGCTCCCTTCAACTTTAAACACAAAATAAATATAAAAATAAAATAAAAATATGATCTTGGCTTGGAGATGATGGGCTCCTGGCGCGTTTAAATTCATTTTGCACGGGCTGGGTTTGAAAAAGGAACCCTTGCTAAGCTTTCTTTGCCGAATTTTTACCTATCTATACTATAATAAAAATCTATTTACTATCTTTATTTACTTGTTAATTACTTTATATACCTATATTTACTAGTTTTATACAAAATCATAAAAAGAAGAAAATGAAACATACCTTAAATAGTGGGTATCAGTTACACATAATCCCCTACATTTAAGGTACTCTTCATTTTTCAAAGGATTACAAAAACATCATCTGTTTTTGTATTTACCCACCGTAAGAAACTCACTGATACCCAAAATCATCACCTCTCTTTGTACTTACCCACCGTAAGAAAGCCACTGATACCCAAAATTTCTAACCTAAAAATCTCGCTTACTCATTCCTCTTCCAAAACTTTTTATATCCGATTTCTCTCTTTCAATCATCTACTGTTATCCCCCAAAAACTACAGATTCTTTCCTCTTCCAAAGTTTTTGATATCTGATTTCTCTCTTTCAATCATCCAAAATCTCTTTCTTCTTTATACAATACAGAAGAAATTCGAAAATTTGTTCTACAATTAAGTTGTGGGTAAATTTTGAATCTTGTTGCCTTTCTTTATTTTGTCTAATTTTCAAGCTTCACTCTACATTAACAATGTCTCTTTTCTAATTTCTCTGTATTTTGTTCTTATTTATGTTTTTTATCCATTTTAAAAATGTCTCTTTAATATTCTTTTTTATTCCACCTTTTTCAGAACTAACAATGGGTAAGACATCTTTGCTTGAATATGTGAGAAAATATTCTGGAAAATCTGTTGTTGATACACTAACAGGTAACACAGCAGTTCGAATATCACCCCGAAAATATTATAAAAAAGTTATGGGTGAAACACCTAGTTTTGACTTAGGTGTATTTTCACAAGAAGAAAAAATCAAAAAATCGAATTCTAGGCATGCAATACCTGTAGTGATTGATGAAGGTTCGGTTTCTAAGAGGAATGGTAAGGCACTTCGAGATGATTTTGAAGAGGAAGAATTGGTATTAAAAGCAAGAAAGAGGAGTAAAGTTAATCACGATACTAAATCAAAAGAGAATAATAAGATTGATCCGGATTTCGGCTCTCGTAAAGATGAATCTGATCACAAGGTACTGTACAACTTTAAAAATATTTCCTTTATGTTGTCTTATGTGAGTTTTTTAGGTAATTTGTTTCTTTTTTGTATGTTTTTTGTATACCGATTGTATGAGTTTTCCAAAAAGTTATATTTATATATTTTCTTAATTATTAATTATATATATTTTGTATATTTAGTGTATTACAAATGAAGTTGATTGTGCATGATAGTGATTATTTAACATAAACCACTTTTTTATTTTTTGTATTTTTCTGTATGTTTTTTGTATGCACGCTATTTTTTGAATGTATCCGCCTTTGTGGCGTAGTGCTATTGTTTGTTTGATAATGATATATTTATATATTATTTGTACGTTAGATTATATGTTTTGTATTGTGTTTTATATGTTTATATGAGATAATTTGTTTATTCTTGTATGTTTTTTGTATACTTATTGTATGAGTTCTCCGAAAAAATTAACTTCACATTTTTTTTTATTATCGGTGTTGTACATATTTTGTAAGTTTGATGTATTACAAATGAATTTAGTTTTATAAATTTCATATGTTTATGCAATTTTAGAAATAATACTATCGATTAAAAAAATACCTTTTTGTATATACTTGTGTCCTGTTTTTCTTTGTTGATATGTGGGTCGATGCATTTATTTTTTTAAGATTTATCCTTACTATTTTGTTTCTTAATTCAGAGACAAAAGTTCTTTGTCATGGAAGGTGTGAAATGTGGTGTGACTCATTGGCAATCATATACAGATGTTGAAGTACTGGAACACAGCAAGGAAAATTTGCCAAGTGAGCAATTAAATTTGTTTAGGGAGTCATGCTTTGGATACTTCCTCGATTTGCCCCCTAATATATGTACACAACATCAAATGATTAATGTATTGATGAAAAGGGAGATGAATGACTATTGTGCTGACATTTTCTCTGTAGAGATCAACAGTCAGAGGTTGAATTTTGGTTTGCATGAATTTGGTATAGTTACTTGTCAGGATAATGACCGGCACTTAGGAATAACTGTCCCCAAGTAAGCCTTATCAGTATTTTATAGAAAATCGGACAAAGTTTCCCCTGTATTTGGACTATCCCAAAAGTTTTCATGTCTCAAATCAACAACCAAACATCCTAATATCAATTCAAACGACAATGACTTTATCAATTAACCAAAACAAATATCTACCATTAATAATCTACCCACTAACAGCTAGAAATACTACTTTATCTCCAACTTTGATAAGAATAAGCGATACTCAACATAAGTCTATAATAATAAAAGAATACTCAAGACACTAGAAGAATGACTATGGAGCGACTCTAAGAGTCCAAAGAAAAGGCCATAACAATAAATAAAATCTCCGCCCACGCGAATAAGTGTGAGGCTCACCAAGAACTATCAACATGTGCGCTCTAATTAACGAAATCCTCGCCCGCGTCAACTATTTTCTCTGTAAAAAAAATAGCGGGGAATGAGTCACTAGCTCAGTGAATAATAACACTTAACCACAACTGTTTTTATTGGGGACAAGTCAGAAAACACGCTAGTATATTAAACAGAAAATATCATAAAAATGTCCTTTCAGAAATAATAAACTATAATCAGTCTCATCATATTTTTCATGTAATATAAATCAATTGACAATTCAGTAATAAGCTCGGTAAATACTGTGTAATATCAATATTTATGTTTGGAAGGTTTCAATGAACAGATCATGTAATCGGTATAACTGTGAACTCCTTCGCAAGAAGTCAAATATAACGGTAGTCCCTACTCGAGGAAAATCAGTAATGGTATGCTAGTTCTACCTTCCCACTAGCGAGGGCTGTAACGGCAATCGGTGATTACAAGGTGCACCAGGTCTAACGAACCCGCCGTTAGCTACGGGATCCTTCAAAGTCTACTCCCATTTATACTTGTCTTTGTAATCCGTATATACTCATAAGAAATTTTTTTAAAACAATATAGGGCATTTCAGTTCTTATCAAATCATGTAATTTTATTTCGATAACAGTAAATTCAAGTAACGATAAAACATATCTAGTAACAACAAGAATATTTAAAACAACGGTAATCATGTCAAATAACTATGTCGGTATCATATCGAGTAAAAGACTTGTCCCACATGCAACTCAAAATAATCGGTAACATATTCATATTAAAAATCATGTGTAAATCATGTAAGTTATGAAAAACACAAATTGCGGTAAGATTACTACTCATAGTACTCGTGCCGAAATACCAAATGCTTCACCTCGAGCAATTCGTATAAATTCCTCCAATCAATCTATAATTACATAATATCGATCTTATGTTAATTTCCTTATTTAGGCTAATTCATAGCTAATTTAGAATACCTAACCTTTTTCATTTTGGATAGAGAAAGGGGCTTCGGCCCTTTATTCTTTTGTTTCTGTTAGTGTAGGGCTTTGCCCCTATTTTATCTTATATTGTATTTTTTTTTATTTTTTTGAGGGTAAATTGCTTAATTTCCCTTTTTTTTTGTAACGAGAAGTATTACATTCTCCCCACCTTATGAAATTCGGTCTCCGAATTTAGCTCAGGTACGTACCTGTAGGCTGAAATAATTGGGGATACTTGACTCTCATAGTATCTTCTATTTCCCATGTAGCTTCTTCAACAGTATGATTTCTCCATAAAACTTTAACGAACACAATTTTTTTTGACTGTAACTTTTTCACTTGTCTATCGACAATAGTCATCGGCTCCTCCTCGTAAGATAACTTCTCATCGTGTGGTATGGTAGGTGCTTCAAGCACTTGGGAGGAGTCTGATATACAATTTTTTTCCAGCATGGAGACATGAAACACTGAGTGAATATAAGATAACTAAGGAGGAAGTTCCAAACGATATGCCACAGCTCCCACTCGGTCAAGTATTTCATACTGACCTATAAACTTCGGGCTCAACTTACCTCTTTTCCCGAATCGCATCACACCCTTCATAGGAGATACCTGTATGAACACTTTGTCTCCAATTGTGAACATTAAGTCTCTTCTTCTCTTATCTGCATAAGATTTTTGTCTGCTTTAAACTGTGAGCAATTGCGGTTTGATCAATTGGACCTTGTCAACAACTTCTTGTACTAAGTCGGGTCCCAATAAGTTAATCTCACCAGCTTCAAACCCTCCGATAGGAGAACGACATCTCCTACCATATAATGCTTCGTACGGTGCCATCTGAATACTGGGATGGAAGCTATTGTTGTAAGAAAATTCAACTAAAGGTAGATAAGCATCCCAACTACCTCCAAACTCAAGAATACAATCTCTCAACATATCATCCAAGATCTATATAGCACATTCGGACTTTGCATTTGCGTGCGATAAAACTAGTACTAAGATCTACTCGTGTACCCAACATTTCTTGAAAAGATTTTCAAATTGTGAAGTGAATGTGATCCTCTATTATGGGGGATGGACAATAGAGCTCTATTGAGTCAGATAATTTTATGTTCATCTATATCTATGTATATTTTACCTCACTATAAGAGGTTTTAACTAGCAAGAAACGTGCCTACTTTGTAAGCCAATTTACAACTTTTTCATATATAATCATACCTCTAATTGTTTGAGTAATTTAGTCATATAATGTATTGTTCTATTGCATTTCCACTTCAGAATCTTGAGTTGTTTTAGTAGACCTGTGAGTCGCAAGTGCTTGCCTTATCATACTGACATGTCAAATAGTTAGAAACAAAGTTAACGAATTTTTTTTTCCTTTCTTTATTTTCCAACCAATCAATTTTTTTTATAGTCATGGCGCATCTTATAGACCTGAGATATACAGTGTATCTAGAGTTGTGAGCTTCATCACGAATAGCTTGTCTCAATCCATATATGTTTGCTACACATAATTAATTATCTAGTTGGAGAATACCCTTACTATTAACAGTCATATCCTTGCTTTTACCAGCTAGAAACTAATCTCGGTAATTAAACAATCGCTCAACCTCGTATTAGCTATCCTTTATACACTCTATATAGGGCTTGGCCAATAGCCAATAATATCTTTGAATTTTATTTTTTTTCGCATTGAATCTAACATGTGTACCCTCTAATCTATGTATATCTTCGTCCATAAATGTCTCTATAGGAGCTATATGCGACAAATCACCCATATTTTTTTTTTGCATAAGCTATAATATTTATCTTTCCCGAACAATACAAAATAGTACAATTATATCTTCAGTAGTTCTCTCCATCAGCATTGCTAAATATTCATTGCTAAATATTTATATCTCTGTTGGTTTTAAATGTACTTCAGACTCTTGTGCTAGGTATAAATCTCATAGGTTTCTTCGTATAAATAGTGTCTCTAAATTTTAAAAGGAAATACCACTATGACTATCTCCAAATCATGAATGGCATAATACAACTTGAGTTTCTTCAATTTTCTTAGAGCATAGGCATTTGGTATAGTTACTTGTTAGGATAATGACCGGCACTTAGGAGCAACTGCCCCCAAGTAAGCCTTATCAGTATTTTACAGAAAATCGGACAGAGTTTTCCCTGTATTTGGACTATACCAAAAGGTTTTCTGTCTCAAATCAACAACCAAACATCCTAATATCAATTCAAACGACAATGACTTTATCAATTAACCAAAACAAATATCTACCATTAATAATCTACCCACTAACAGCTAGAAATACTACTTTATCTCCAACTTTGATAAGAATGAGCGATACTCAACATAAGTCTATAATAATAAAAGAATACTCAAGACACTAGAAGAATGACTATGGAGCGACTCTAAGAGTCCAAAGAAAAGGCCATAACAATAAATAAAATCTCCGCCCACGCGAACAAGTGTGAGGCTCACCAAGAACTATCAACATGTGCGCTCTAATTAACGAAATTCTCGCCCGCGTCAACTATTTTCTCTGTAAAAAAAAATAGCAGGGAATGAGTCACTAGCTCAGTGAATAATAACACTTAATCACAACTGTTTTTATTGGGGACAAGTCAGAAAACACGCTAGTATATTAAACAAAAAATATCATAAAAATGTCCTTTCAGAAATAATAAACTATAATCAGTCTCATCATATTTTTCATGTAATATAAATCAATTGACAATTCGGTAATAAGCTCGGTAAATACTGTGTAATATCAATATTTATGTTTGGAAGGTTTCAATGAACAGATCATGTAATCGGTATAACTGTGGACTCCTTCGCAAGAAGTCAAATATAACGATAGTCCCTACTCGAGGGAAATCAGTAACGGTATGCTAGTTCTACCTTCCCACTAGCGAGGGCTGTAACGGCAATCGGTGATTACAAAGTGCACCAGGTCTAACGAACCCGCCGTTAGCTACGGGATCCTTCAAAGTCTACTCCCATTTATACTTGTCTTTGTAATCCGTATATACTCATAAGAAAATTTTTTAAAATAATATAGGGCATTTCAGTTCTTATCAAATCATGTAATTTCATTTCGATAACAGTAAATTCAAGTAACGATAAAACATATCTAGTGACAACAAGAATATTTAAAACAACGGTAATCATGTCAAATAACTATGTCGGTATCATATCGAGTAAAAGACTTGTCCCACATGCAACTCAAAATAATCGGTAACATATTCATATTAAAAATCATGTAAGTTATGAAAAACACAAATTGCGGTAAGATTACTACTCATAGTACTCGTGCCGAAATACCAAATGCTTCACCTCGAGCAATTCGTATAAATTCCTCCAATCAATCTATAATTACATAATATCGATCTTATGTTAATTTCCTTGTTTAGGCTAATTCATAGCTAATTTAGAATACCTAACCTTTTTCATTTTGGATAGAGAAAGGGGCTTCGGCCCTTTATTCTTTTGTTTCTGTTAGTGTAGGGCTTTGCCCCTATTTCATCTTATATTGTATTTTTTGTTTTTGTTTTTTTGGGGGTAAATTGCTTAATTACCCTTTTTTTGTAATGAGGAGTATTACATTCTCCCCACCTTATAAAATTCGGTCTCCGAATTTAGCTCAGGTACGTACCTGTAGACTGAAATAAT